CAGGCTACCTCGTCGATGCTGTGCCTGCCCTGATTCAATGATAGCTTTTAATATGTGTTGAGGTATCTACATGAGTTTCTGCATGAATGTTGGGTTTTGTTTTTTTTTAATTGTCATTTGGGTGAAAAGTACACAGAGCACATTAATTTTCCATTCTACAAATCATACACGGTTTGTTCTGTGACATTGACTGCAATCCTCACAAAGTAATAGCACGCTTAACCCTTCCTCCCTTCGCTGACCATTTCCCTGGGTCCTTGCCTGTCTCTTCCTGCTCTCTGAGCTATACCCATGGGCATGTGCCGCCCTTGTCATCTCATATGGCTGATGGTGCTAAGGGCTGCGTATCTCCCTGCTGTTACCTTACAGACTCCCGCCTGCCCGTTGTTGGACTGAAGGCATCATCAGCGTCGTCGTAATCATTTTCTTCCTGAGGTCTCAGTGTGGACATGGAGTCATGGCATAGGCTTTTCTCCCTTTGCTAGATTTCGCTAAGTCCTGGTACGCATGCTGACATTAATAGCATGCTTCATTGTGAGACCCTTAAGAGTTTCGATTGGCACCACCCTACCATATGTCACCCGTGACCTCCTTCCCACCCAGTGCCCTGAGACAGAAAAGTCTCTATGTAGTGTGAGTAAGTGATACATTTCCCCATGAGTGGTCTCTCGGCTGTGCCCCCACTTCACAATCATTGTTCTTTCCCGCACCCCACCCCTCAAACGGCATGTGCATCAAGCTGCTACTGAGTCATTCCTCGCTAGTGCTAGTTGACAAAACATAAAAACTATTTTATCCCTGTGTAGGTCAAAGAACACTTATCTTTCAGATCCGTTTTCCTACGCCCTTTTGAAACCCTCTCAGATTAACAACGGGGTGGTTATTAGGGGCCATCAGTTAGGGGCCTGTGTACAGCAGAGCGGGGAAATGCTGCCTGGTCCTGTGGCATGCTCACAGTTGTAAAGTTCAGCTTCAGCATTGTAGCACTGTGTCCATCACCTCGTGGGCCTCTTCCACGCTTTCACGGTTCCCCTGCTTTCCCCAGCATGATGTCCTTTCCACAACAACAGCCCTGATAGTAATAACAATGGTGGGGCTTCTCCACCAGGCACAGTTACCAGTGCTTTTCAGATACACAGAAGGTCGTTTCATCTGCACAAATAACCCTCCTGAGCTGCTCTGTCACTACCTTTCCGATCACGTGTGCGTGTTTTGTATAAATTCAGAACAAGTTAACTTTAACGCAAAATAAAATTTCCCATAGAAGCAGTTCAGTGTGGGACCCTTCTGAGTCAGCCAAGTAACATCACATAACTGGTGCAGTCCCTTGCTATGGGCAATCCCAGATCCCCCATGTGTGGATGAAGAGCAGCATCAGCATTTAAGGAGACTGGAGAGGCCATGATGGGAGGGTCATGTTTCAGCCCACTCCTCCCTGGGTAATGGCGGACTACAGTCCATTATACATGGTCATGACTGTTGTGTGGACACACCCTCAGTGTAGGAAACAACCCTCATTTGGAGACCTCTGGGGATGCAAAGCCTGCTCTCTGCTTTGCGTGGCTATGTTTATATATAGCTTTATTGTTTAACGAAAAAAAAACCTCCTACACCAACCCAAGACTAGTTAGAGGTGCTCTCTCAGTGAACCTCTGTCTATACACCCAAGTGTTTCTTGTATATATTTCTATGGTGGTGCCACAGGGGTATCACGAACGCCATATCCATACATAAAACTGAGATATTTGAAAAGACTCGAAATACGAGTAGGACTTTCTTCCCACACTCCACTGGCTTACTTTGACCCTGTTTTAGAGACTGCTGGAAAAGAGTACCCAGCCTTGTGCTTTGATGAAGAACACATAAGGTCCGTCCGTATCCGTGTCCGTCGTCTTCCCCCCCCCCGCATTCCATTTTCACTTTGAAACTTCTCTGACTAAGTTGATGTCGCCACCCTTTCTGCTCTTGCACAAGCATGCCTTGTTCGCCGCTGGGCCCTCAAAGCTAAGCAAAGACTTCTGGTCTTAACTTGCCCACCTTTGCTTATGTGCACCTAAACTTGAAAAATAGCCTCCTACAGATAAAGATACTAAATTCCTAGATTCACCGGGACACCGCCCCTCCCACACACTAATATTCCTCATTGTTTCTCTATGAAACTCCAGGGAGTCTACCCGCATGCTTCAGTCGGGCATCTGCTCTAAGCAGCAGTCTTTTGAAGAAAAAAAAAATATCACCACAATTGAAAGGACTCTAATCAGGCTACATGTAGGTAAGGTTGTGGAATGGTAGGCTTCCTGGGGTGAAATTGACTTACCCATATGACCGCTATTTCTGGGCATCCGCTGTGTGCCTGGTCCTGTGTTATCTTTGAGGAGATAGAGGAGCGAACACAGCCAGCCCCGTCTCTGCCCTCAGAAAGCTAGTGCAGAGGGAGAGTCCTTTTGCAGGCGAGGATGAGAAGCCCACAGATGAGAACTCCGAGGCAGTGACGGGATCAGAACTCTAAAGGCTCACACCCTCTCTCTCCTTACCTCTTGTCCCGGCTCTCTATTTCAGGGTTCAAGTCTCAAGAACACGTAGTGTATCAATGTGATTCTAATATGATACAATGGTCCCCACGTGGCTCCATTTGATCTCAGCTCCTAACCAAGAGGTTAGTGGTTCCAACCCATTCAGCAGCACCATAAAAGAAAGTCCTGGTTCTGCAAAGATTACAGGCAAGAAAGCCCTGCGGACTTCAGTGCTGTGCAAAGACACGAGTCACTCTGGGTGACTCAGCTCAATGGCAGCGGGAAGAAAAAAGGACAAATGGCCACGTGGCCGGTCTTCTAAACCTCTTCATGTGCAGAGGGAAATCATCCGGATTGGGGAAATGTCAAGAGCAACAAATGGCACGTGGGAAGAGTTGAGAGAGCTGTTGCTGGATGTGTACAGTCAACAAGTTCAGCTTCTCCCCTTTCGGCTGCATCTTTATGGGGGGAAAGACCTTTTCAGTGTATTCTGGAGGGCTCAAAGCACATCATCCTACCATCCACAGAACACTACAAGGCAGCTCGGGGAAGCCTTTAGAGAAAGGAAAAGGGAGGTGACAAGGTGGGCTTTTAGAGCTCTGAATGGCAGCTCAGGTGCCATCCACAGCCATGTGGACCGTGGCTCTGATAGAACCCTGCCATGATCTGGCCGCCAGGGCCCCTAACAACAACCTCTGGAGGAGGTCTAGTCAGTGGGTTTTGACCCTCACCCATGAGGAGGAAGAATGCGCAGGAAAGGTCGCAGGACCAGCCACAGCCCACTGACTGGATTCAGACCCCTCCTGAGGGCAAGCTCGTTATGGTAACACTAATGCTTAACACATACACCGTTTAATTCACAGTAACCGAAGCCAAACAGGGGCCTGTGTTTCGTCCGATTTTGTTTTAACGTTCAGAAACAAAGCAGATAGGAGAAGGTGCAGGTGCGTGAGTTAAAATAGAAACAAGAAAGAGGAGGGGCAGCCCTTAGCTTTTGTGTATTTTTTTCTGGGCCGGACTGCTTTCCTGAGCTCTCTGTCCGTCTTTCATAAGCTGCTTTGAAGACTGAGCTCAATCTCGCCTCCTCTTTGGTATGTCTTGTTTCCCCTCTTCACCTCATCTAACTCTTTAAGTTTGTGGTACCGTTTATCATTGTGTATTTATCTGGTCTTTAAGCAGAATCTACGTTTTTTGCGGGTGGGGTGGGGTGGAGGCAAGGTTTATGTGTTTCATTTAGCCCCTCTTAGCCCCCGAGAAGTCTCTGCCCTTAGCCAACCACAATGCGTTTGTGGAACAGAGGAAGGGACGGAAGGCTGGGAAATGGAGAATGACGAGAAAGCAGAATTTTTAGAAAGAACAAGTTGAGGCTGAGAAAAACAGAACGCTAGCAAGCGATTTCAGTGGAAGTGGTAGACAGAAAAGCGCAGGTTGTCCTGCGAAGCGTAATGTAGCTGGAGCGGCTTCGCAGGCATTGGCTTTCCAGTCCTGAGGCAGGAACTGCAAATCCAGGAAGGGCTCGCGCAGCACGGTCCCTCGGGTGGCTGACTTTCGCGAATGCTGTTGGGTTGAAATCATGGTGAGCCCTAGAATTTATACATTAGTTTAAAAAAAAAAATTAACTAGCCGCTTAAACTAAGTTAAAGGTTTCTAGTGTACTATAATGAACCGGAATCTCTGTGTTTCAGCTGTCGGTGGTAGCTATAGGAATCAGCATACACAGAACGTCGAGCGTGGAGGTGCTGATGCAATTTCTGGAAGATCAGAATGCATTCCCCAACTTCGAACATCTGGCTTACTGGCAAATCCAGTTCAACAATGTCGCTGCGGTCACAGTATTTTTTGTATGGATTAAGGTGATGTCTAGATTTCATCGTTTAGCCTTTTCCCCCTAGTATTTCCCCTCTCTCTCTCTCTTGTTTTTTGTTTTTAGCTTTCACGATATTTTTGCAATCCTAGACTAAATACCATGTCATCTTATAGACGTCCTCCACGGTGAGCGTGTCTCACCGTCTTCTGTTAACACGAGGCTTGACAAGTGCTGGGGGTTTCCAATGTGCCTCTGTGACCCCGTTCAGGTACCCCTCCAAAGCCGGCCATTTGTTGGACATCACACTGACTGCCATCACGTCCTCGTCAGCCCATAGCGACCCTCTTGGACAGGGCAGAGCCGCCCGAGTGGGTTCCTGAGACTGCCATTCTTTACAGAAATAGAAAGCCCTGTCCTCCTCCCGGGTTGCAGCCGGTAGTGTCGAACTGTGGACTGTGTGGTTAGCAGTCCAGTGCATAACCACCCTGCCACCAGGGTACCATGTTTCCTATGTACTTTACGTGTGACAGATGGGGCTATTCGTGGAAGATCTGTCCTTAAATAAATCAATACATAAAATTGAAAAAAAAAAGATCTGCCCTTGTAGGTGCAATGTAGCAAATTCAGTAAGAAATGTTTTCACTTTGTTAGTTGAGCCTGGTGCCCCAGGCGACTCTGACAGGGAGACAAGTCCAAGTGTCACCTGAGGGAAGCTAAACAGCTAGAGAATCAGGCACTAAAGCGAAAAGAGGAGGAAGTTCCAGGTGAAGAGGAGGAAACGATGGTGCACGTGGAAAGGTTTGCTGGACAGGACCTCCGGTGAAGGCCCACGGTTATCTTTACCTGGAATTAGATTGGAACAGGCTCCTCTTCGGAGTCTTTCCGCGGTCACCCATTTCCTTTCATTCCTAGGACATTTGGAGCATTTCCATACAGGTGAGAGGTTAGGGGCGTACGCATACAGTGAGCGTCAATTCTAGCGACGCATCACACTTGCGTAAGTCTGAGGCAGCTCCCCACCTGTCACCAGCTCAGGTTCCCTGACTGCCCTTTCAAGCAGTAACAACCAGCTACCTGTGGCTATTTGAATTTAAATTTTAAAAAATGAGATCCAATAAAGAATGTAAGGACTCAGTCACAAACTCCAAAAGAAACCAAGTTCACTGCCCCCAAGTCCATTCTGACGCAGAGCAACCCTGTAGGTCACACTAGCACTGCCCCTGTAGGTTTCTTCTGAGGAATGACAGGTAGTTTTGAACTGCTGACCTTGTGTTTAGTAGCCTAATTGTAATCCACTCTCCCACCGGGGCTCCTTTCTTCAAGCACACTCATCACTTTCTGAATGCTTACTATCCACACGTGACTAGTGGCCACAGCACAGGGCAGTGCAAGTAGAAAACATTGTTGTCATCATGGAAAGTTCTCTTGAGAGCAGCACTGTTCCAGAGGGTGTACACCCTTGGGACTCACCCAGTGTTTGAAACTCCTGGGCTTAAAGGGAGAGGGCATTTTTTTTTAAAATTAAAACAAGTAATTGAAGTCATTTCTCCCTTCTCTTTTATAGCTCTTCAAATTTATTAACTTCAACAGGACCATGAGCCAGCTTTCCACAACCATGTCTCGGTGCGCCAAAGACCTCTTTGGTTTTGCTATCATGTTCTTCATCATTTTCCTGGCTTACGCCCAGTTGGCCTACCTTGTCTTTGGAACTCAGGTTGACGACTTCAGTACGTTTCAAGCATGTATGTAAGTATATACACAAGTGTGAGGAGAAGTTCTCAGAGGCGTCAGTGCCCTCTGGAGGAGAAGGAACACCAAATGCTTACAAATATGTATTGAAAATAAAGTGACTTGCCTTTCCCAGAAATACTGGCTGCCCATGCATCATATAAGCCGATTGATTCTGGAATGCTGATGCTTCCGAGAGCAGCCCGAAGGTCGTGCAGTAGAACCACCTTGAGAAACCATCACTGTTTCAAAGACCGATGTCTTTTTTACAACACATGCGCGTGGTGTCTTTTAAAAGGCCAATGGTCTATTATTTTATTCCTGTTGAATATTGTTAGCATAGATGGAGCTTCATATTAAGTTCTAATGGCGGGGGTGGGGAGGGTAGGGGGGGTGATATTGCTCACAATCTAGGAGAAACTCAGGAGCTTTCTATCTTCTTTTGCCAAAGTTCTTCGGCCAAATATGATACAAAAGGCCCAAAAAGTAAATAAATAATGAGACCAGATTGACCCCAACTCTATCTTACAAATATGGCTAGACCAGAACATGTATACTGCTACAGATGAGACTGGGTAGGAAAGATGGAACTGATTACAAGGAACTATATGTGACCTCCTCCCTAGGGGACGGACAACAGAAAAGTGGGTGAAGGGAAACGTCGGACAGGGCAAGATATGACAAAATAACAATTTATAAACTATCAAGGGAGGGGGGAGCAGGGAGGGAGGGGCGAAATGAGGACCTAATGCCGGAGGGTTAAGTGGAGAGAAAATGTTTTGAGAATGATGAGGGCAATGAATGTACAAATGCGCTTTACACAATTGATGTGTGTATGGATTGTGATAAGAGTTGTATGAGCCCCTAATAAAATGGGGAAAAAAACTCGCTACACAGGGAATCCAGAACCGAGAAACCCCTCGGGACCAATAAGGGGAGCAGCGATACTAGGAGGGGAAGGGGAAGGCAGAGTAAGGGGGAACCAATCACAATGACCAATGTATGGCCCCCCCACCCAGGGGGACGGACAGCAGAAAAGGGGTGAAAGGACCCAGCAGTTGGTATAAGACATGAAAATAATATTGATAATAATATATAAATTATCGAGGGGACCGTAGGGGAGGGCGGGGAGTGGGGGAGGGGAAAATGAGAAGCTGATGCCAGAAAGAAAATGCTTTGAAAAAGATGATGACAGCATATGTACAGATGTGTTTGACACAATAGATATATGTGTGGATTGTGATAAGAGCTGTAAGAGCCCCCAATAAAATTAAATTTGAAAAAAGAAAAAGAAGAGAAAGGTGGTTGTAATAAAGGGAGTTAGCAGGGCTTTGGACATTGGAGGAGTCCTCCTTACTGCTGCTGTTTGATCAAGTGAGGAATGAAATGAATTTTACTGAGGAAGACCCCGCACCGGCAGCGTGCACTCAGACCCCACTCAAGTACGTGTGAGCAGCTTGGATCTCTTTGATGATGTACCATTTTAGCTATCCTTCAAACATCTTTTTTAAAAAAAGAAAAGGCGGGGCTTTTAATTCGGACCCAGGATGACCGTGGTAGAAAGTTAGATAGATTACCGATGTTTTACCCAGGTCATATACCACAGGCTTGAAACATTCTAGGAAAACTAAGAAGAAAAGGTCATGGAATTTCCCCATGAACTTTTTGGCAGGCGCCCCCCCCCCAAGTCTTATCAGTTCTTATCAGATAATAACTTTATATAATTTAATCATGTTTAGTTTTTTGCCAACTGGAGACAGCATTGACCATGAAGTAATGGCCCTCAAACAATGACCGTCTTAAATGTGAATGATGCTAAAATATGATTTAGCACGAAAAAATCCTCTCTATGGCAGCAGCTTTCCATGCAGGTGACTAGCCAGGCCTCCCCAAAGGGGGACTGGCAGGGCGGCAGCGAGCTACATGGTAGAAGACCCCACGTGTGGCATCATCTTTAGGAAATGTTACATCAACCACGAGACAAGCTTTGCTTTTGCCATTTTGGTGTTCTGTTTTGTTTTTATAGCTTCACTCAATTCCGTATCATTTTGGGCGACATCAACTTTGCAGAGATTGAGGAGGCTAATCGAGTTTTGGGACCAATTTATTTCACTACTTTTGTCTTCTTTATGTTCTTCATTCTCTTGGTATGTACATTTTCGTTTACCGTGAACAATTGAAACGTTTTGCTCAGGAGTCGCCGGCTGCTTCTCTTTGCTCTTGCACCACCGGCGCCTTTTCCTGGGCTGTTGTTTCCCCGGGAGCCGCGGGCAGGAGACGGAAACGTGGGTGCTAGGACATGGACTAGACTCGCATGATTTGCCAGTTTCTAAGTCTTAACCAGGGATCTTTTCCCTGGTCTTTACATAGCCCTAAGTATGCCAAAAACATTAGGTAAAATGCCACGTTAGTTATTTAACACAGCGCCCAGTTGAAAAAGTAGAATACACTTCCACGTTGGTTTCTTTAAAACCTCTGATTGTGAAGGAGGTGGGGGTTACACGCCAGGTGGTCATTTTGATACTCAACCACTGTACTTAGCGACACTCCCCGAGCTGCTTACTCTGTGTCCACGCCCTGCCCGCACGGTCGTTCCTCTTCTTCTAGACCGTTCTGTCCCTCCTCACCTGCATTCACACCTGTCGGCCTGTTAGCCTGTCGCTTCCCCTTCCTTTCAAAATCTGTTTCTTTCCCTATGAAAACCGTTATCCTGCTTTTTTTCTCTTCTGCCAGTGGTCTCTTACAATATTTACCCTTCTGTGATTGACTAACCACTCAGCATTAACGGCCTTCAAATCCATCCATGTGGTGAGGGGCTACGTTCCAACTTCATTCTACGATTCTGTTGCGTGTTATTACATGCTTTACAAGTACAGATGTCAGCATGTTCAGAGTCAGTGTTGAGCATGACTTGGCTGGCCTCTCTATGTCTTCTTTGTAAGCAACAGGAACGGACAGAGCAAGCTAGATCCAAGAATTCAAGACTGTTAGGGACTGAACGATTGTCAGAATGAAGATACTCCATTTGAAATTGCTTACGTGTCACACATCTAGAGACACATGATGTCACACAGCTTACAGAGGATAATTAAATATTAAGTTTAAACCTCAGTCTGAACACTGAATGGACATTACTTTCAAAATTCATTTCAAAATAGTTGTTTAAAAAAAAAAAAGTTAAGACAACAATTGCGGGAAGCAGCGAAGAGAGCTCAGCACACAGTAGGTGCTCAAGAACGTAGACCCACTTGTCACCATCCCATCCCAAGAGAACTTCCCTTAATTCACAAAATCAGAACGCCAAACCCAGTGCCCCGTGCCTGTGATTCGGACCCACAGCGGCCCTATATGGAATTTCTGGGGTTGTAAATCCTTCCCGGCTCATCTAGCATGACCAGGGCTCCCTTCTTTACCCCACAGAAGGGGAGAAATTATGTTTGCTTTGTATTTTATTTCTGTCATGTTGGTACACATGAAATTTTTTTTCCTCAGAGGTAATTAAGACTTTTTAAAAGGCATTTTCTTCTTTGTCTTCATAATATTGCATCCAGTTTTGCCCTGAGAAGGTATAAAATCAGTTTCACTTAGGCAATTGACATTTTTAAAAATCCAAGCAGGAACATTTAAGACTCCCTTTATGCAAAGTATCGTCTTAAGAAAATAAAATTGTTTTCATTTTCAGTCAATTTTGTAAAGGTCTTTTATGAATAATTACATTTTAGTAATTAAGTGTAAATAAAACAAACACAAACAAACTCACTGCCATGAAGTTAATCCCAATCTTTAGAACTGCGCCTGTGAGTTTCCGAGACTATAACTCTGTACTGGAATAGAAAGCATCATCTTTCTCCCAAGGAGCCACTGGTGGTTTTGAACTGCTGACCTTATGGTTAGCTGCCCAACTTGTAATCACTATGCCACCAGGGGTCCTTTAGTAACTCAGTGTAAGTCATAATATGTGTGGCACATTAAATCTATAACTACCAGGACCAAAAGAATCGGGAGGTATGATCTAAGTACCTGGTGTACCTGTATTGGCTAGCTTTCAGCTTAAGCCTCCTAAGTTTCTGTTTCCTGTCATATAAAGAAAAAAGCGGGGGAAATTGGGAAAAGTAAGCCTGTGTGAACTTGGAAGTACTTTAATTTCTGAAACCATGGGCTTGCTGCAAAGTAAGAGAGCAGAAACCAGAGATGGGAGAAGCTCTTTAACTGGCCCTTTAGTTTCTGCCTGGCCACCCACAATTTCTTAGTCTGTCAACCTGCCGAATAAGGACCATCACAGTGGCAATTTAAATAAACTCTCAAATAGTCTCTTTTCAGTGTTGGCATTTAGTAGCTAACACCTTCTAGACGGTTCAGTTATTTGATCAGGCTAATCACCAGAACACACAAACACACACATAAAACTCTCAGTGTTTGTTTGAAATAAAAGTAATTTTTATCCACCCACACATAAAAAGGAATTACCCTTCTACTTTTAATAAACAAAGGCTAATATTGATATAAACCTTTCTTCTTTTTAAATAAAAATACTTGTTGAAATATACACAGCAAAACATACATCAGCTCAGCATTTCTATGGGTATAATTTCTGGCAACCATCTTCACTCCTTTTGCAAATTATTCCATCACTGTTAACATCAACTCACTTCACTCTAAATGCATTATCTCTCCTTTCAAACTGCTCTTGTCAGTCGACAGTTTTTTTAAGAGTACAATGCTCAAGGCAGGCATTCTTCACGAATTAAACTAAACTATTGCTCAGAAAGAGCCCTGGTAGGACAAGGGCATGGCAGGCTATGCACTGAGCTGCTAACCAATGTCCTCCGTGGGAACCCTCAGGCGCCCCTTGGGAGAAGGATGAGGTTGTGTACTCCCATAAAGATTGACAGTCTCAGAAACCCACAGGTCTGGTCCACTCTTCCCTGGAGGATCACTATGAGTCAGAATCAACTCAGTGGCAGTATGTTTGAGTTGCCTATTGATGGATATATGACTTTCTTATAAGGAAAGGAGAGGCTGAGTGAAGGGTTAGCTGCCTTTCCACAATGCTTACCTTGCTTAAACAAGAAGCCTGTAAGTCCTGAAATGGTCCAGCTGAGCAAACATCCTGCCACCCAGGGGGAAGTCCCTAGTATAGGTGCCCCCCACCCCCCATCTGACAATTAGGTGAACCTGCTGAGAGAGGAGGAGGGGGGTAAACGTCAATCCCCAAACCTGTAAGAGCCTTTCTCTTGACACTTGATGTTTTTCTCAATCTCAGAGGATCCATACTTTTCCATCCTTTTCGATGCAGGCACTAGTTAGTTAACAGCCATCTGGAAAGGAGAACGGAACACTGATTGCCTGAGTTGGGAGGTAGAAGGTGGGAGATGTCATTCCAACTGCCCTTGTCTGCCCTTGGAATTGAAGATTAGATCAGGGACTTTATATTTTATTCTCATTTCTGCTACAGAATCTTAAACAGCATTCTTCTTTCATAAAGATTTAGGGTTAAGCCCATCAAAATAATAGAGCCTGTATTTGTTCATTCATTGAATTGTCCAATAACGTTTTAGTGAGCTGCTCTTCTTCCGAGTAATGTGCTAGGTATGGGGATACAGTGGTAAGGAAAAGACAGTTTAACCCTGCTCTGTGTTAAGATTCCCTAGACATGAGGTGGGGACAAACGTGCTCAGATACTCATCACTGTCAAGTCAATCTGACTCATAGTGACCCTGTAGGACAGACTAGAATGACCCCATAGGGTTTACAAAGCTTACATCTTTACAGAAGCAAACTGCCATAATCTTTGTCCCAAGGAGTAGCTGGTAGGTTCAGACCTCTTGGTTAGGAGCCATGTACATGAACCACTGTGTTACCAGGGCTCTTCTAATACTCAGACACCTAACTATATAGTTACACACTGAAAAGGAAAAGTGAAGGAAAGGTATATAAAAAAAGGGATCTGATCAATTAGATGTGGTCTTTCCAGGAAGCCTTTCGAAATACAAACCATGTTAGAAGCAGTAACCATTTCTGATGGCAAAAGGAAAAGCCAAGAAAAGAAACTAATCATTAGTGAGTAGTCGTATACTATATAGTTCTTCCCATGCATCAGGCCCTGTCTCAAGTCTGTTATGGAGATCGGTACATTAATTTTCACTGTTAGAATGATTTTATTATGTTCCTGTCAGGTAAGTACAAAGATAGCATTCAGATTGAGGCTTGAAAAGGTTGACAACATCAGCATGGCAGTGCCCAGGCTGAAACACGCATTTGTTTAACGCGCAAGTCTCTCTTCCCCACTAACCTTTTCTTGATTCTTTGTCTAGAAGACTTGACTGTTCCCTATGAATTATTTTTGAGTGGATTCATTCAAGCACAATGAAGAACCTTACAAAGGTCTTCAATTCGTTGACATATGCTTTGTAAATCTCAAGTGTTTGTTCTTTACTAATATTGGACTTGGTTAGGCACAGAATTCCACTTGTTCATTTTACCTATTGAAACTTGAAGTACTTTTTAGAGTTCTATATCTCTACTAAATTATGTGCATTGTAAAAACTATAGAAAAGGGGATGAATGAACAAAAAGAGTAAATGAATTCCACCACGTATAGATACATTCAGAGTCCTTTGTATTCCACTCTTGTGTCTATCTGGAAAATGTATCTCAGTAGATGGTTAACACTAAGTCATAATATATATTGATGTGATTTAATGAAAGAAATCATTTTCGTAAGTATGATAGCAAATTTTCGAAAAAGTGAGTAAAAAAAACCAGATTTCTTTCGAGTGGCGCTTGCACAATGTACTGTGAGTCCTTTCTCTAATCGGTGTTTTCCTTTGACTTGCAAACAGAATATGTTTCTGGCCATCATCAATGACACTTACTCTGAAGTCAAGTCTGATTTGGCCCAGCAGAAGGCTGAAATGGAACTCTCCGATCTTATCAGAAAGGTAGGAATGACCTTCCTCTGCATGTTTTATTTCCTGTACACTGTGCACCTTGCCGAGGCCAGGTTTCCAAAACAACATCCATCTCCTGAGTTGCTCCAAACAAAGAGCAGATTTCTCTTTCAAGAAAAAATGGAATATTATCTTTCTTGGGAGTCTTGGTGGGGATCCATGCTACGTAGGACTTAAATTCAGGGTAATGTTTCTGCCCTGGAAACGAAATGCCCAGTCATCTCAGACTGCTGTTGACACCTCCTGCGTTTGTCTTGACACCTCCCCTCCGTGGCGGTGCGCACGTCGAGGGCCAGAGTTCCACAGAAACTGGAAGAGAGGGTCAAAGAAAGACCTGTGGCTTCTTCTACTTCAAACTCCATTAACAAGCAATGAAGAGTTTGCGGGGCCATGCTTAGTCTTTGACCCTTTGTCCTTGCCCTTCCCAGCTCACTGCCATGCAGTTAGTTCTGACCTGTTGGTTTAAAAGAGTTCCAGGAAAAGGTCGAAGGCCAGAGGCCTGAGAACTTTTACTTTGACACCATCTCAGGAAGGAGTAAGTTGTTCAATGGAAGGGCAGGCCAGGAAATTGGGGGCGGCTTTGTTCTCACAGTGACTTCTTTATTTGGTTTAAAGTGGAAGCCCCGTAACAACAAACACTGTTAAAGTACACAGCTTGTTCCATAACCTCAATTTGCTCGGATAGAGTGGCTTTAGAACTATCGTGTTTTTTCCCTCTTGGTTCCAGTCACAGGGCTGTGCTGTCTGTGAATAATGCTACCCTGTAGCTGTGAAAATAAACTCCTTTAGGTGGACTCTAAGATTTGTGTCACCCTGAATACTGAAGAGTCAGTTACACGTTAAGAAGTTTTTCATGTGTGTCCTGCCAGCCTTCCCTTTCCTCCGTTGTGATATGTGCACCCTTATTTCGTATAACACTAGTCCCCCAGTCACATGGTGTGCGTTTCACGTATTACAGTATGCTAACTTGAGACATCAAGTGAAAACGTAACTGCTAGCCCTTCAGTCCACACTTCACCGTGGACATAGCAGATGCATGCTGTGCTCGGGATCCATCTCATCACTTCCTTCAGAGTCTGGTGGTGGTTGGTCATTGCAGATGTGCTATTCCGTTGATGCGCAAGCAGCAAAGCATGTAGTTGTGTTGCCTCTTTATCTCTGAATGGGAAGCCTCCGCTGACAGTTTACAAACATGTGCAAGTGAAAGAGAGGAAAAGTGGTAACCTATCAAGTTGATTCTTTCCATAAAGCGCGGAGTAGAACAGAAATCTGTAAGGAGACAGACTGGCCTTACCTTCCTCCTATAGAAAGAGGGCTGCTGGGTTCAGATCCCTGACCCTTCAGCAGCTGAGCAACTTAACCACAGTGCCACCAGGACTTAAAGTGTTAGCCTAGGAAGCGAAGTCTCCATTGCATGTACATGAAACAAGTGTGACATAGATGATGTAGATGCCTGTGGAGGGGTTGAGACACTGCTAAGTCTGGATGTGTAGCCAGAGGCCCTTAGTGAAGGTACACTTAGAAACCTAAATGAGGAATGTGGCTGTGATGGAAAGAAGTGAGGCAAAACACTTCACATATAAGGAACTTTCGAAGATGCTTCACAACATTGGAAACCACAAAACATGACAGGTTAGATGTTTATCCAAACGGATGGGAGTGTGGCAGGTAGCCAAAGCATGGAAAAGATGCCCCCTCCACATCGGCTAACACAATGACTAGAAAGTAAGGGCTGTCCAAACTACACGTGGTGAGTGTTTACCGAAGAAGTAAAACACTAGTGCTCAGTGTTCAATAGTATTAATCTCCATGTTCTACATAAGTATTAGCTTTGCCATTTCCAAATGTCTTTATAACGTTATAATTGGCAGGAAAGGAGTTTTTAGTGTTGGAGTTTTCAATCGTTTTATTGGCATGTAGCTCACAGACCATAAAATGTAATCGTTCAGTCATATGAAGAAGAGTTGTGTGGTCAGCACCACCATCAATTTCTTCTCATAGCCATTGTTAGAGCCCTTGTCCACCCACCCTCCCCTGCTACCCCCCTAGGTCATTATGAATCCAGCCACTGCCCCTCTGGATTGGCCTATCTTGGATTTCTAATACAGAAAATCATACAAAACACAAGCAAACCCACCCAGAAACAATGACAAAACAAAACGGAGAAAAACTCACTCAAAAAGAAAGCAGAAGATATTAAAAACCGGAACAACTTTAAAATAAATTAAAAGGGAAATCAAATGATAAGGCATTACATTTTACTTTTCGGTCAGAAATTGTTCACGGTCACAAAACATCATTTTTCCATGGATGGTTAAGATCATTTTGTAAAGTTTCAGCTTGAGGGTCATTTTAACATTCTCACAACACCAGGCAAAGTAAAACCCGGTTGAAGCTCATAAATATCCTTATCTTGATTTCCCTGAGTTCCCTCCCGCTCCCTCCCACTTATGTGAGATCATATTTCATCGATAACTCAGGTTTTGCTGCATGGCAATTCTTGTATCACCTATACTGAGCAGTAGGCATTTCATTCTTCTTGATTTATTGAAACACCACAGGAGTTTCATGGAAACCTCCCGCTCCGTGTGGTCGTCCATGTGTCCATCCAACATGTACTTGTCCAGTGACCAAGCGCTCGTCTGGTCTCTGGGTTGACAGCCATTACCCTGTAGGTTGATGAAACAAATGGAAAATGAGCGCATAATACACCAAGTCTTTTCTCTCGGTAGGGCTGCCATAAAGCCTTGGTCAAACTAAAATTGAAAAAAAGTACCGTGGATGACATTTCAGAAAGTCTGCGGCAAGGGGGAGGCAAGTTAAACTTTGACGAACTTCGGCAAGATCTCAAAGGGTGAGGCTCACATTTCCTAAGATTTCTGAAGATACGTTCTTGGTGGCAAGGGTGTCATTGATGCAAGTATTCATAGAAAGGAACTGTTTTCCTAGAGGTGGGTGTCTTTCTGGCATCTATTGTAAGAGGAAGCCTGGCCTTTGTCTCGGTTCCCCCTGTGTTTTGATGTCTGTGTTTGAGTTGGGCCCGGTACAAGAATGAGTTCATCTGTTATCCTCTCAATAATTGCAGGAAGGGCCACACTGATGCAGAGATTGAGGCAATATTTACAAAATATGACCAAGATGGAGACCAAGAACTGACCGAACATGAACATCAGCAGATGAGAGACGACTTGGAAAAAAAGAGGGTGGGTCCACTTTAAGACAGCATGATTCAATTCGGTACCTCCAATGTACCCAATACCAGACCAAGGGGTAGGCTATTGAGAGAATCAGTTCCCCCCCTCCACGTCCTCCCATTAGCACTCACACTCGGAGTCCCTACCCTTTCGTAAGAGCCCATCAGAGTGTAACGAAGCAGAGAAGCATATAGATAATGTAAAGATATCATAAAGGCTATGAAAACATAATAGTGCTAGAGTTTGACAGTAAAATAAACCAACTAGTTTAGTAATTCTTTAATGGTGTATGCATCAGTACCTTGTTTATTCCCAACCTTTTACATAATGTTTATTCCCAACCATATTACATTATGTACAAACACAGTTAGTTAGCCTACAGGAAAAAAATGATGCAAAATGAGAAAATATAAAATGAGGCTACGGATGAATCTAAGACACATATGCTTATTAAGATTGGGATGCAAATTAGGCCTTAAACTTCCTAGTCATCAGCTTGAAAAGAAAAAATTACTTATGTATTTCATAATGTCCTGTTTATTAAAAAAAAAGATTTCTCAGCAGATATAAAGTTAGCTATTCTTTTAGGAATTCTAATCAGCAGCCATTCTTTTAGGAATTAACATTTAGAGTTGACTACTCTACTGAGTAATCAGAAAAATAAAGAAAAGCTTTAGCATTAACTTTAAAGTTACTGGTTAAACCAAGTTGCATGGTAAACTGAGGTGCAGAGAATGTTCCTTACTGGAAAGGAAAATGGGAAGGCCGCTGTCCCCAGAGCAGATCAGATCCAGAACACTGGTTCCCCTACGTGCTGCTGCACAGAACAGCCCTGGCCGCTGAGAGAGTGTTCACCAATCAGCGTGAAATGTGGACAAGAAGACAATGAGTAAAATTTTAAGTCAAACTTCTCATTCCGAGATAACATGCTTCCTGGGTCAGATCTATTAAAATATTCTATAAGTGCATAATCATGTCTTTCTGTTTACTTTTCTCTCTACTTTGTTATGTTTTAATTTTTTCTTATACAGTTAGTAACTCCTTTCTTGTCCAAATGTGCTTCAAAAATCGTCAGCCTATTCATTGTAGAGGTTTGAGGCTCGGACTCAGGTGTCAATCACAATGAAAGCCTAAGTAAATGGCAAACACCGTTTCCTATGTGCCTGGCTTCTTGGTTTTCTTCAGGAGGACCTGGACTTGGATCACAGCTCCCTGCAACGCCCTATGAGCAGCCGAAGCTTCCCACGCAGCCTGGATGACTCTGAGGAGGAGGATGACGAAGACAGTGGGCATAGTTCCAGAAGGAGAGGCAGCATCTCCAGTGGGGTTTCATACGAAGAGTTTCAAGTGTAAGTATCAAGACAGAACGCAGGGTGACGGGAGTTCAAATAAGACCAAGGAGTTTGCTCTAGTTCTCCAAGTTCACCCCTTCCTATTACTAACCACTCATTCTAATTCACAACTTTTCCCCACTGTTTGCACGACCAGTATGTTCATCATAGGAAAATTAACCAAAAAATAAAATATTAAAATCTCCCATCTTACACATCTCTGGCTCATTGATTTTTCAGCAATTATCAAGAGCTTTTAATGGAAGAGGAATCATCTCTTCAACAAATGGTGCTTTCCATTTGCAATTAAGAGAAATTCAACCCTTCCCTCACACCACTGACATGAAATAGCTAGAAGAGGCAGATTCATAGAGAAAGTAGAGGAGAGACCACCAGTATCTGGGAAACAATTAAAGAGTTGCTGCTGTATCCAGACAGCGATGCTGTCTGGGATGAAGAAGTCTGACGGCTGCAAAACTCTGTGAATATGATTAAAATCGGAAAATACCATGTTTTGCCACAATACAAAATGCATAGGGGAAAGTCTCCCATAGTCCCACCAAGAATGTCTGTTAACACTTTAGTATTGCTTCCGTTTATATAGTTACCAATTTACATATGTCTATGGGAGACATGACTTAGATATAAGGATACAAAGAGATTGGAAATAAAAGGGTGGAAAGAGATATATTGTGCCAATAGCAAGCAGAGAAAAAGCTGCCATCACTGTAGTCATAAGAGATTTAAAAAAAACTTTAAATTAAAAGCTGTTATTAGAGATAAAAGATATTTTTATGAATATAAATGGGCTAATCACTTGGAAAGATGTAACAATTATAAACACGTGTCTGCAGTAGCATATTTATGGAGTAGCATACAGTCTATACTGGACAGTGTTCTCTGAGCATAGTCAGTTATTACTGAGTGAACTGTTCTAGAGATATTTCCTAAGTCTTTTCGGTTTATTTTGTTGTTCAAGTCTTACATTTCCACGTCGACTTCCTGCCTACTTGTTATCTCCAGTTTTAAAAGTGGAGTTTTAAAAATCGTGTTTACCCACCAATTATGATTGATCAGTTGTCTAGATCTCCCTTCACTTCCCTCAGGTTTTGCATCGTGAATTTTAGAACTCTGT